CCCAGAGTGATGGTTCCTTAATTCCAGTTGTCTAAGATTTTTTTCAGTTTATTTTAGTTCACTGATGAATAATTGACAAAGAATTAACTATTTAAATCAAGTTATAGAAATTTAATTTACTAATTACATGAGGATGCATAAGGTGATTTGTCTCTGATTAATCTCCTAATTCTACTAGTTGAACAGTCACTGGGGAATGAAAAAGATAATTTCATCTATTTATTGTTTTGAAGTTGGCTTCTTAAATTGTGCTAGTACCCATACTCTGTTCTGAAGATGTCACTCACTACTCCTCTTCTCTAGTCAAGAATATGTTAACTCTTAAACATTGGGTACCACAAGTCAAGAAGAGGTGGTTTTGTGTTTCCTTTGTGTAACTTGGAATTCTTTAGAAATTGGAAATACCTGTGGTGTCTTTAATCTAAAGAGCATGATTTTCCAATTTTTCCTCAAAATGAGTATTTTTCATTATTGCATTAAAGATCTCATGTTCATGCTCTCCACATGAGGAGAGGCCATTTACTTTGTGTCTAGATAGCAAATGCTTTGATATTTTGGAATTATTACTCATCTTTGAAAAAATTAATGCCATCAGATACCTCACAGTAGTCATTAGTTGTTCAGGCATTTGTCGATCTTTCTTTTAATATTCATATGATGATGAATACTTCAGCCACTGCTCAATTATTTCAAATATATATTATTAGGTAATACTGGTATATTATTTAGAATAATATGAGAACTGCAGAAGAAGCGTTGCACTCTTGGTTGGAGTCACTTTGTCGTTTTGTTGTTAATGTAATGAAACATATTTTCAGCACTCTTTCACTTAAAAGACGAGAGCCTGCAACCTGGACAAATCCAAGCCAACCTCTTTCAGCTTCTCTTTCTCCTCTTACAAAGAGGACATATTGATCCATTATTCCTAGAGCTGTCATAATAGTAAATTGGACGTTTCAGGGGTCATGAATATTAAATTGGGACAGTTTGGGTGTCATTTCAGCTGACCCCTCCCCCAGGGTACCATCTCTGACCCACTTCATTCACTGGTCTAAATGCTTCTGTGCTATGTTCTCTTTGCACTTTGAGTCTATTTTTGTCAAAGCGCCCAGTGTAATCATTCACTTTCTTATCTACCCCCACTAACACCCTCGTGATGGTGAGCACCTGAAAGTCAATCTTTCCATCTCTGTATTTACAGAATCTTGCCTAGTGCTTAAATTTTACTCAAAGAATGATTGTAAAAAAGGTTAGTCTTAATACACTAGTTTTTACAGCATTATTTCTAAAAGAATTCAGCTTTTATCTCTCTAGTGAAAGTGAAAACATTTTAGTATTTTACAGGACCTGAATTACAGCCTAATGCTACAATTCAGAGACATGAGCATGTTACCAGGATTAGGTAGGAAAACTCTCAGGCAAGGAACTAGTAGTATGAGTTTCTGGAATTTAGTCTTGGAAGGTTAGAATGAGGTTGTGGGGGAATCATATTACATATTTTTAAACCAGAAGTGAATAGAAAAATCCTTAAAAAAAAAAAGCATCAGAGTCTATTCAAACAAGCAAAAAACAAACCAGCATGGGTTTAATCCCAACTGAGAGGCAGGTCCCCCAGGCAGCCTCTTTGCAGGCTGCCAGCCCAGCTTCAGGCCACACTCCATACATGGGTGGATGCACCTTCCCTAGCAGGATAAATAGTGAGGTGGACTATGGAAAACTTGTTTATTAGGGTACTCTATGGGGAGGAAGGCAAAGGGCTTTTATCCAACACATGGAAAAAATTCACACAATTCTCTGTGCAGTATCTTCATTTGTTTTCTTAAGAAGCCTCCGAGGCCCTCCTGTACCACACCCCTTTTATGTCCCCAAGCCTGTAAAGGCCTCCTATTTCCAGGAGCCATCCAGTTCTGGCATACCAGGCAGCTAGAAGATGCCACTCGTTCAGAAAGCCATTAATGACTGTGTTGCAGTCAGTGCTTTCAGACTTTTATGGTTCTGTCTCAGCATAAGAAAATAATTCAAGCTTTGATGGAGAACAATTATATACACTGGAATACAATGGAAAAAAAGTTATATGAAGGAATTTTTACAATAGACTCATTCCTCCTCTCCCCTCTGCTCTCCTCCACTCCCCTCTATGTGTATTTAGTAAAAAAAAAATTACTAGTCCTAACCCATCAATTTCTATCCACTGGAAGATAGAAAAACATTTTACTATTGTTTAAACATGGCACAATACACATACCAAACAGTTTATCAAGGTATTTATACCACTAAAAACAGGTTCCTTGGAGGGAATGTATCTTAGTCCATTCAGGCTGCTATGAGCAAATGCCACAGACTGGTATTTTACATATATATAAACAACAGAAATTTAGCACTTATCCTTCTGGAGGCTAAGTAGTTCAAGGTACCAAGTGCAAGTTCAAGTTACCAGCATGGTTGGGTGGGGCGTGCTTCCTGGTTCATGGCCGGTGCCTTCTTGCTGACCTCACATGGTGGAAGGGTCTAGGGAGCTCTGTGGGGTCCTTATTTAAATAAGCACGCTCACCAACCCCATACGTGAGGGCCTCACCCTTATGACTGAATCACCTCCCAAAGGTCTCATATATTATACTCTCACCTTTGGGGATTAGGATTTCAACTTGAAAACTGCAGGATTAAGCTGCTTGAGGTTGATTGCTTAGTGCTTCATTGTAACAGGTCATTTTGAACCTGTCTGTTCAGTTCCGATTTCCCAGGCCCAGGTGGAAAATTCCATTGGCCTTGGAGCACTGTACTGCTTGTGTCTGCTGGAGCCGCTGGCCTGCTATGGTTCTCTTAGTAAAAGGCAAGGCCTTTTCATTACTTTTTTTCTTTAAATTTCTGCTACACAATCACACTGAAGTGGAACAATTATGAAATAAAGGCAAATCTATGTTTAATTTGTTGTAAGTCATTTATCTCTGAACACATTCCTTCTCTGCCATACGCGTGCAGTCTACTCCCAGGTGTCTTTCCTTTCATTCTTCCCCAGTGGTGCGGCCTGGTGCCGACAGAGGTTAGCGCAGAGCTGTTTCCACATCGGCCATGGGGGAATGTACTGTTTGAATGCACATCAGTCTCACTACCACTACTTCCTTTCCAGGTGGCAGCAGATTGAGCTTACATTGTAATTCATCATCATTATTAACATATTTCTACGTGGGCATATGAATGGTGCTATGGGCATATGAATGGTAAATACGGAAGAGTGTGGTTCCTGCATTTGAGGACATTAAACTAAAATTAAATTAGAGGCAGCCACCATATGCAATGCTTAATCATGTGATACGGTGACCGTTTCCTGATGCCACTATACCTTATTTCCACAGCATTAGTGTTTTCAAATGACTCAGTCAACTCCTGCCAGGATATGCAAAAACAACTACAATAGGAACCTTTTCCAGAAATGTTTTCCTATTTCTACTATGAAATGTATCTAATAGAAATAACTCTTTGAGTAAGTGCCACCTGCCTACTGTGGAAAACACTTTATTGGTGGCAATGTTGAAACATCCAATATGAATTATAGCCACTTACTGCAACAGACTCAAGGAGTCCTATTTTCCTCTTCAAAATCAACTGAAAAATTGTGACTTACACTATGCATTCTTTCTTTGTAAAGACAAATGATAATGCATTCTGTTTCAGGGTATTTTAGATATTTCTCAACTAGCAAAGTGGTTTAATCTTCCATTTTACCTGCTCAGGGAAAAGGGTCCTTTTGCATCTCAAAGGCTCGAGGCAATAGTTTTCACAAATAAATAACACACTAACTGTTAACATTGTTTTAAATTAGTCTTTGGGAAAAAAGAAAGCATTGCTTTTCTGCCAGTAAAAATTAATGTTTCTTGACCAACATTTTTTGCATAAAATCATGTTCAAAGGTGGAGTGTTAGACGTTTTTAAATTTTCGGTTCTATAGAATATTTTTGATTCATGAAGTTACTCTTAATAGATTTTTAAAAACAGATTTCAACAGGGTCAGACTTTCCTCCTTGAAATTCTGAAGGTTTCCATTATTTTTACATCTTGAGTCAGTAATTTAAAAGCCTCCTGGTTGAAACCTTTTTGTTGAATAATTATTCTGTTATCACAGTGAATTTTTACCTTATACAGATAATGACATGATTATTGGCCTTATTAAAGTATGTATATGCGTAGTTGCTTTTATTTAGTAATAATAGCATACTTGTGTATACTTGTTCGTATACAAAAATAAGGCAAGCAATGGCTAATTCTGATCCCCAGTTGAACCACTGAAACCCCACTGAATCAATAAAATTCAGTTAAATAGGAGTGTGTATGAATACATAAACACATACAAAAGTCAATACCGAGAACAGTCAGAGATCCACTGAAGCTCAACTAAGGAGTCAACATTTAATATTTTAAGTTTTTGCCTAAAATTTTTGAATCTTAAAAAAAAAATCTAAAAAAATGAGAAGTACACAGATTTAATATTTTACTAATGACTTCCAGAAAGGCAGAAACAGAGTTTATGAAGAAGCCAAAACCAGAAGTTACATGGATAAATAGATCATTAATGTTTGTGTTATTGCTTAGTATTGACTGGATCTCTTCATTATACTCCTGAGAATCATGTACATAAAATACAGTAGAAATAATAGCAATAACATCTGATTAACAATGAGCAGATCAATCCTGGAACACAAGACTTCAAATATGCATGGGGCAAAAAAATGACTGGATTATTAGTATTTCAATAAAATTTCCACTGCTGAAAGGAGTAGGAGAAACACACACATTTTAATAAGTTTAGAGAAACCAATTTAGCTGATATCAAGGTATATTTGCAGGCTATTGGAATAGCTGTTTTTTTTTTTTCAGTATTTGCTAAATCATCTGATACAAAGAAATAGTAAACCAAGCATGTACTTAAGAAGAGTGGGCATTCAGTTTTAAACACTTTGTGTATTCTTACAAATGTGTTTAATTACAACTGCTTCAAAAGTATCCCAGATTTTCAAAAGTTTTATTTTAAGTTTGAAGACTAGACAAGGTCATACTAATTTTACAACATCCTACATGATTTAAGTATATATATATACAAAGAAAAAAAACATTGGAGTATTACACAGCTTGAAATTTTGCAAAGGTTATTTGTGTCTTCGATATTTCTGTATTTAATGACACATCAGATGCCAGCATATTATATTTCATAATTTGTTGACTTGCAAAGATACAATCATTAGTACCCTAAGTCTTCAAAATTCACACCAATCCTTATGAAGCCATTCAGAAAGAGAAAGTCAACCCTGAAATTAGAATTAGTAGTTATGATAAATGCTTTTAATAGGACATAGATAAAATGGAGATATTTAAGATTTGAATTCCACAGATTATAAAAGTAGCATATTATAGACACAATATGGTGAAGACTAGGTGGTTCTTCTGTGTGCTCTACTTACAAGATTGCACTTGTTTCAGTGTGAATTTAAATAGAGTAAGTTTGCTTCTCTTTGATGTCATTGACAAAAGTGACTCAAAAGCTACATCCTACTTCATAATAATTATCAACACTACCACATGTGGGAATCCCTTTGTTGTCGTGAATTTTGGGCATCGTGAGACAAATGGACATCCCATTGGCTATGCCATGTTGGTGAGGAGCATGTAGAGCAGAGTGAAAATGCACAAGCAAAAGAAGGCTATTTCAATGGATTTCTAAAACATAACAAATATAGTTTTAGAAAACTCCCTTGAAAATATTTTTTTAAAAACTATCAGGATAAAATTAAAAACATCGTAAAAAGCCATGAGCAATTTTGAGAAAGTAAATCATTACAAAACATTACTCACAATTTTTAGAGCATACTCTGTTAAGAAGAATTGTGCATAATCTACAAAGGAAAATGGGTAGAGATTTGGTAAGACAATGCATCTTTAAAAAAATAAGGACCACTGGTTAAACAGTGAGTACTTTTGGACCTAAGTAGTTATTTGTAAAATGACTTTAAAATTTAGCGAACTAAAAACATATAAATTCCTAATGTTAAGGTTATCTAACAAAAAGGCAACATTGAGGACATAGCAGTTTTGTTTGTGAAAGATGCTGAGAAATGACCACCATTTCAGAGACTTCAAAGCAACAATTTCATAATACAAACCTGAAGTAGAAATGTGGCCGTAGGACAAACACGTGGTCAGTCAGTCCTAATTTTGCTCTTATTAAAAATGCTTTGTGATTGACTTTCTCTTTAAATTCTTTACTATGATTGAAGACCACTCCATATATACATAAATGCTGTTAACACATGGACAGACATGACAGTAACAGTCTCGTGGCTTTTGTTATGCAGCACAAATAATAAAGGGGAAGAAAAAAACTTCGCAATGTTGCACAGGAACCCAACACTTCATACACATACCATACTTTCTTTTCCAGGACCCTTAATTTAAAACTCCAATAATCTGTGTCTAAGCCTTATAAAATAAATACTTGTAAAGCTTATAAATTAGATGTTGAGGATTTTTATGGAGGCAGTGTGAGCTTTAATTTGAGAGACATGTCAATGAAACCTCCATTATCAATAACAAATTGTTAGGATAATTGCTTATTTTTTCAGGGCCTTTGAAGTAAAATAAATAGAAATCAATTTTCATCTTGAAAATGGTTTACTACTTTGTCATTAGTAAATACTTTTCTTCTCACAAATAACTATACAGTGTGCTTTCCTGGGAAACCACTACCAGTTTGAATCTCAATAAAATGTTAGTTTCCCAGAAAATGCAGAGATGAACAAAGAAATGATGAGTATGTTTAGCCAAGCTATGCAGTGCTATGTTAATATTTGCTTAAAATATTTTTAAATAGACAAACAAAGAATTCATTATTCTATTATCTTAACATAAAGATAAAGCTGCGGAAATACTGTCAAAACAAAGATTTAAATTTCATTTTAAAGGGACATAATACAATTTTGTTGTTTATTTTGCAAAATGGTAGTATTGGGTTCTTTACAAAGGAATTATTTGGAAATTAAATAGTTATAGCTTTCTTCAAAAATAGAATTACAGATTCAATCTACTGATATTAAATATGATCAATCTACTGATATTCAATCATTTTCCATGTATATATATGTATATATATATGTAAACAAACATGATACTTCTTTTAGGCAAATAATAGAAAACGCAATTGGAAAAATATGGACTTATTCAGGCAATATACAATATAAAGCATATGGAATAGAACAAAAAGGAAGAAAGATCACAATCGCTGATTAAAATAATGAAAGTAAGAGGAAAATTAAAACAATCAGTACTGCGTGTTAGATTCCTCTTCAGAAGGCTTTTATGAACACTGACAGTGTTTGGTAGGCACAGGGAAACAATTAGGACAATGTAGAATCATTACTGAGGAAAAAAACCCTTATTGCTCACATTGCAGTATTCCTGTTGTAAGAATCAGTTGAGTATTGATTATAAAAGCTCTATCAATTTTGCTTTTGTTTGATAACTATGAGGTCTTCTCACCTTTGCTATCAAAAGAGCGCTACTGTCTTTCTCTAGTATATTTCAACCAGTGTGAGTGATTCAAAAGACAATGAGAAAAGTAATTCACAGTGAATGTTATGTGGCTTAAGAAATTGAAGTGATAAAAATCAAATTAAGTCAATGAAAAGGCAGGCTTAGACATCCTTAAAAAGACAGTTTGTCGCCTACCGTAATTTGAGCACTTTTTCATGTACACTTTCCTACAGATTTTGCACAGTTCATTCCATGGAGATACTTTTAGGAAAAGAGAGAAGAGGGGCATTGGGAGTGGGGTCGCCTCATTCCTCCTCTGTGCAGCCCAGGAGTTCCGATCGCAGCGTGATCCTTCCGTACCAGGACCAGGGGAGGATTCTGATGTGCCGGGCATAGATGGGAGGGTCGATGACATTTTTCCTGTGGGTATCATTGTCAAAATTACCCTGGAAAACCTAGGGAAAAAGAGCAAAGGGTAAAAACCATGTAACTTCCTCTTTCTTGGGAATAATTTTGATTTTCTTGTTTGAAGCTTGCTTCCCAAATGTGAGATTTGATAACTAAGTCATGTTATTTTTCAAAATATACAGCAGTTTCATAATGATCATTTTTAAATTAAATTGTCAATTCATGTTTAGAGATTTAATTAAGATAAAAATCAGTTGCCTAAGGCAGGAATGTGTAGGTCTGCCTATCAGGTTTTTTTGTTTTTTGTTTTTGTCTGCCTATTGGGTTTTTTTTCTTTTTAATGCAGCAGATATTTATTTTTAGCTTATGTCCCAGGCTGATGTCAGTTAGACAGCTTGCTGAAGTGTTCTCTTCTAAGGAGCAACTCAGAGATCCAGGCTGTTTGCAAATCACAGCCATCATCTGAAATGTGTGGTCTCCACATTCACAAGGGTCAAGGGGAGAGAGAGTTAGTCTGTGCAGGATGTTTAAATGAACAGGGTATGGGAAGTGCTTATATAATTTCTGGAGATACCTCACTGACCATAACTAATTACATGACCCCAGCCCAACTGCAAAGGAGGGAAGTGCAGAGGAAGGCACACATGGATATTTGGTGAGCAAAACAGTTTCTATCAGGGTGTCTTTTGCTCCCTTCTCACATGGAGAACAAAATCAACCCATCTCCAAGAGACAACCCAATCAATGCTGTTTTTGAACTAGAACTACATTTTTTGTATGTGTGTGGCTTCCCTGTCTTTCAGATCTTGGATGCATACATGGTGGCGTGATCCCTCTAACTTAGAATGTTGGCATGTTGGCATTGCATGACTGTTCTCCTCCATTCTTCTTTTGTTTCAAAGCTTTTATGAGTTTTTTATGCCCATTTTCCTCATGAGAGGCCTTTATAATAATGCTTCAACCAAACAAAATCAGAAAACTGGGATCCTGATAGGAATGATATTAAATTATAAAAATTATAAATTACTTTGAAAGAAATCCATATATTTAAATATTAAGTCTTATTTGAAGACTTCACCATTTTTTAACCTATAGATTCTGAACATTAATTATTAAAGTGATTTCTAACTATTTTATATTTACATTTTTTGTTTAAGCTCTATTAGAATGGTGAAAATGTCTTTAAAAAATCCCTTCCCTTTTAACTTTATCAGGAATCTTACAATTGGAAGAGAATTTTCTTTCTTGCTTGAGATAAAAAATCTGACTATATGGCCAAAGGGAGACCTGAAAATAAAGTTCCCCAAAGAGGAAAAAAAAAGAAACTTCATCATCACATGACACAATATTTAACCCATTTCTGAACACTCTGAAATTAAAGGGAATGTTTTAAAGATGATCTTCTCAAATAAGCTGGTTCAGTCTTACGTGATTCCAAAAGGTCCACTGGAAAGAGAAAAATAAAAATACTCTTCTTTAAAGCATTAGACGGTGTGGCACTGATTAATAGAAGCAATAGACAAGATGGGGTAGTCTTTCTGCTGGTTCCATGGGAAAGATTATGTGCCACTGGGGGCAAATGCAAAGGACCATTTCCATCTTGTGGGGGATTAATTTATCAACCTGACACAAAATGTACCTCAAAGGCTATTTTCAAATAAATATTTGCTAAAGAAGAGAATACTGAACTGTGCCAAATCTAGAATTCATCATCCTGGCATATTTGAATCCACATTCACATAATAGAATTTTTTTTCTCAGTAAAATACTCTAGTTTGCATTGACTAAGCAGAAACTAATTCTGGATTAAAATCTGCTACTAAATAACAGGGTCTCTGTTAAGAAAATATTACATGTACAGGACGTAACATATAAACACCAAAAATCTTAACAGAAGTTGTCACTGCAATAGCAGAAAATAAGAGAATACATTCTATGGTTTCCTAACATTCTCTCTGACATACAATGTTGGATTCATATGTTTCATCAAGGCTGTGACGTTAACTTAATACAGAATCTAAAATACAATTTCATAGCCCTGCAAGAGAACTTAATGTATATCTTTGGAATAATAGAGTTGAAATTCATTAACTTTCACTCCAAGATCTATAGCAGTCCAAAATACAGTGTTCTACCTCTTCCTGGGAAAGAAATACAGGAAGAAACAATTTTATTTTAAGTCAGTGGTCTTCAGCACAACTTTCAATAAAAAACCATCAACCCAGAAATCATTAGTTGAATTATTAATTATACTTATCTCCGTATAATGGAGAATACCTTTAGAGAAACATCAGCTCTGAAATGGCATACAATGATGACCTTTCTGATTAAATGCATGAAAATCACAGATATTTGAATGCTCATTAAAAAATTAAATGAAGTTTCATAAAATAGGGCAATTTAAAACACAAAAATTTCCACAGAAAACAGCCACAACCTACATTGGAATCACCCAAACCATGGTCTCATGGTACTGAAAATATATTTTCATTGTCGGAGGACCCTCAGTAATGACCCAACAGAGAACACAAAGCACATGCTTTCACATTCTAGCATGACATCTTGTACTTGCTGTGTAAACGTGAGGCTTATGTGCTGCTCTGTTGTTTCCAAAACTAGGAAGATCCTGCTTAAGAAAGCTATTTCAGTGTTTTACTTGGCAAGGGAATGCAAACTCAGTGTTTTTAGTTAACTTTATAAAATGTGTAAAAATTCCAGAAAAGTGTTCTCACACACTTGAGAGACATAAGCACCTTGATGGAAATCAAGATCCAAAAAAGACTGATGGAGAACATTAGATCTCCAGACTGAAGGGAAAACATGGTACATGAGAGAGACTTTGATTAAGAAGTTTTTACAGAGTAGGCATATGTTTCAGTTTCAGGAGAAGACATAACTAATTCGTTGATGGCAAGTTTGTATTCCAATATTTATGTTTATATTAAAAATGTATTTGGTATACTCAAACATGATCTTTCATGCTTTTCCCATCATATGCGACCTCGAGAAAAAGGCACTCAAGGTACTTTGGAGAGGCTTCCGCGGTGACAACATAGAGAAGATCAGAGAAGAAAATGCAACTGCCTTCACTTGGCTGAGATCTTGGATTTTGTTTTCTAAAGTGAGCTCTCCTGTGATACTAGTTAAAATTCAAATCAGATTCTAGTGGGGATTCAAATTTCAACACAGAGACACGGTCAGATAAAATAAAACAATGAAATGTTGCTTCCAGCAACATTTTAATACTTTTTGTAAAATGAGATTGTCACTCTTTGTTAGGGACAATGGTCCTTCCAGGCTGGAGCAGATGTCGTCAATAGGAGGCTGCCAATAAGGCCAAGTTATCCATCACACAGTCAGAGAGCTGGGGCCTATCTCAGCCTCTCTTAGCTGTCATGCACTATAACCACCTTCACAAATATGGAGCTATCCTTTGGGGATGTCTTGCACATATTGCTTATAGAAATAAAAAGTTCATAGTTCTTGAAGATGCACTTCTTTTTATTTGTCCTAAACTTAACTCCTTAAAAGTTTTAAAGAGATTCCCATTGCCCTAACCTTTTGGAATTTATGTTCTGATCCCCCAAATAATTGGTGGTTTTAATCATTTTCATGTATCTTCTCTGAGCTCTTCAAGGCTTTACTTTAGCAAGGTTTCAAGCAACCATCAGTTCATTCCTTTTGGTCAACCCCTTCTAGATTTCATTATTTCTTGTTGTATGAAGACCGGAACCATATCTGAGATTCCAGATACTGTGAAAAATACTGTGAATATATCTTTCTCCAGTTTTCTATATTGTTTGTATTTGCTTCATTAATGGTATCAAACATACTGTTGGCTTTATTCATTATATCTATATACTGGTCTGATTTCCTTCAGGGATAAAGGATACAGATAAAAATCCATTCCCGAGGGCAGCATGTGTGTGTGGGGCTATGGAGGAAGGTTGTGCAAAAGCTAAGAATTTTTTATTTAGCATATCTAATTTCAAATATTTACTCTTTTATCCAGAGTGCTTATAAAGAAGTGAGATAAGAACTATCTATTCTAGTTCTGATCCCTGAAAAACTCTGTCTATTTGCTTTCTAAATCCTGCCCATATGATGGAAGAGACTGAGACTTGGGAGAGAAGGCACAGACCTGCTAGTACCAACTTCCCTCTCTAACATTTCTGATATGGGACTTTCAGCCCATTCACGGCAATCCTCAGTGTAAGAGGGAAGGTATGAGTTTAAACACTGAAAGACTTCTTACTAGGCTGAGATATGCCTCTTTCTAAGTTCCATCTATTGATCCTAGTTCTTTATTCTCAATGAGCACAGAAGTCTGTCAAAAGAAAAACACTTTTTCACATATTTAAACAATAACACAAACCTCTCAAAATCTCAGATTCAATGCTTTAGGCTTAAGATTCACAGTTCCTTAAAAATTCCTCATGTAAGATGATTTTCAACATCATCTTGATTGCATTCCATTGGATACCCTCTGGTTTAAGTATGACTCAATTTGGCATTTATTTGGACATAGTATGCACATCTTTGTTGTGGATATAATACTTCTGTCAATATAATCTAAGATTTCAGATGATTACATGACATTCGGATCATGGTTGATAATTAATGGTCAAATAAACCAAATTTTTCCATAAGATTTCATAAGGGTTTTCCCATTCTTTTACTTGTAAAATGGACTTATAGTGGATATAGACATTACAACTATTTTAATTTTATTTAATCTTATTGAATTATGGCATTTCAAAAATAGTAATTCCTAGTTAAAATATCATCTATTTAAAAACTAGTGGAAATTTAGTGCACATTAGGACTTAAGTAAATATTTCATAAAGTAACCATTGATATATTATGTGACTATAAAATCTGATTTCTGTGGGTGACATAAAGGACTTACACTTATTAGTTTAAGGTTTAGCATCATAAAACTCATTTTTATATACTTAGAATCAACATTACTTGAATTTTTTTGGACTGTCAAAGATTTCAGAATTACAACTTGAATTAATGCTTTGAGTTAAAGTCTTATGAAAAA